ATGTATACTCACACGCAAAAGAAACGCAAGTGGTTTTAAGCAAATAGGTAACAAACAGGGAACCATAAATTGATACGAGTTTTAGCATGTAGTGAAGCCTGATGGTGTTATCAATATTTTCGGTTGCATTTTGGAAGCCCCGAGTAAAAACGAAACATAAAAAACGAATCGCCAAAACGCACCATTTCAATGAATATGTGGGTATCATGCACCCATTTCTCGCGAAATCGAAAATGCACGAACTGTCACGAACTGTAGTGGGTATAAAACTGTGGCAGTGGAAATGTTCACTTACTTACTTACTTACTTACTTACTTTGGAGATTTAACGTGCGCTTTCCGTCTGATGCGTATTTCGCACACGTGCCCGGCCAGGCCATTTAATGTGTTTCCGAAAGGGGCGAAAGTGGTGTGTGCAACCCAAGAGGGGTTATTAGGGGTTGCTTATATAGAATTTGGGAATTTTGAGATTTGGAATAGATGTCGATGGGGTTGGGGAGTAGAGCTAAGGGAGCTGGGTATGGTGGATGTTTGTTTGTTTATGTGATTTTGATTTGGTAGATTATAGTGTTTTTAGATGCGTTTTATTAGTTCCGTTTTGATTAAGAATACGCCTAAGGCCTTGAAGTTTTCTAGTTTATTTTGTGGGTTTAGTATTGCTTCTAGAGTGAGAGCCCTGTTTAGATTGAGGGTGGTTTGTAATGCGGTACGATGTGTTAGGTAATGTGTGCAGTGGATGAGTGCGTGTTCTGGGGTTTCTAGTTGTTTGCAGTGTGGGCAGTTACCTGTAGTGTGTTGGGTTTTTTTTTAAAATAGGTGGTTATTTAGGTTGGTGTGTCCTGTTTGGAGTTTAGTGATTACTCTGTCTATTTTTTGGATGGATGGAGAATTACCTTTTTGATTTGGCTATTTGGGTTTAGATATAGGTTATACCATTTTTTGGTGATTTTTTGCTTGTTTACACTTATAATTTCTGATTTTGAGATGGGTAAGTTTAAGTTTATTTCTTGGATTTCGAGGGATAGTTTGGCTGCCTTATCGGCGTTTTCATTACCGTATATTCCTACGTGGGCGGGTATCCACAAGAAGGTTATTTGTTTGCCTGCCTTAGTTAGGTCGTTGGAGCTTTTAAGTATTTGATTTATTAATTTAGGTCGGTTTTGGGTATTTTTGTTTTGGAGGGCTTGCAGTCCACTTAGGGAGTCGGTAAGTATTAGGATTTTTTTGTGGTTTTTGGATTCTTGATTATGGAGGGCTTAGGCCATGCCCATTGAAAATGTTCACAGACTAGGGGGAATGTATATGTGTAATAAGTAAGTTTTAACAAAACATGCATCTCAACTTTTTGAGTAAGCTCCTGCTAGCTCCTAACTCATTTATTTCCTGAGAATATTCAAACAGAATTACTGGCCTACTCTTATTAATTAATCCGCTAATCATGGGCTGTGACCATTGTTAAGTGGGTAGACTGGCTGTGTTTGTTTAATTAATCCCACCTACTCCACTGTCTTACAATGGGTGTCTCACTAATGGGATGTCTTACTTATGGGATGTAACCAAGACGGGCCGACCTTGTGTTCATGGTCTTGTGAACACAGGTCAATGGCCGCTCATTAAATCAAGATTTTATCTCACTATCCATTTGATATATTTTCCAACTTCAACTGAAACCCGGTCCCGTGTTACACGCATGGCACGCGCGTGTGCAACGAGTGACTCACGCGTGCTCAACGGGTTGCACACGCACTGCACACCCGTTGCACACGCGTGTTCAACGGGTGCTCAACCCGTGTGCAACCCGTTGAGCACCCGTGTCACATGCGTGTTATCAACGCGTGTTAGGAGAATGAACTTTTAGGCAGTAGTGTATTTAAGGAATTAAGTTTTATATCCGACATCGAACTTTGGAATTGGTCTCAAAATGAATGTTGATTAACGCTGTGGTCAGCTGTGGTCCAGCTGTGTCCGGGCATGGCATTGTATCTGAACAATATGTGTACATTTGATAGTAATGTCATGTCTAATATTAGCCTTCAAATATGCTGGGTGTCCCCTTGGAGTGAAATGCATTGCTTGTTTGAAAGTAAGAATATACTGGTTCCTTGGTAGTGTAAATGTGTTTAATGACGTCATGGCGGAACAATGATTTATCCTGAAATAAACTACACTTCGCTATTCATTGTTCTTTGCGATTAATCCCGTAGCTTTCTTATATACTGTAATATGAGATATCTATGAGATACATCTCAAAGTGAAATGAAGAACGAAGCGTTCTATTGTTCTATCATGGCGTCATTTCTGGAGATTCGAATATGCGCTCGCAACTTGACGACGTCATATATTGGACGACGTTAGTTTGTAAAGGGAATTGCCTAGTGAGTTGTTCACAATAGGTGTAGCTTGGGTATGCAGACAAGCACAGTGGCCGAACGATCGCATCCAAAAGTTGGAGAGATAAGTCAATCGGTATTAGGAGAAAAGGTTCAGATCATCGACGTGAGGATTGTGAGAAAATGAGGGATATACCAATTACCAAACCTAACCCACCTGTTCCTAAAATAGATTTGTCCGACATTGCCGAGATCGGATTCTATGTAGGGAGTCATCATATGTTAAACTAAGCTAACTGTTTTTTAAGCCTGCACATTTTATAAACATCCTTAAAGAGGAGGTACATAATTATTATTTTTATGTCTCATGGTTTATTCTTCTTCGTCTTTTATTTCTTAATAATGATACATGCATAACTAGTACAAGGTCATCATACACCATTTGCTCGTTTAATGCTGCGCGCATTATGGTATTTTATAAATTACATCCCCCGATCAACCAATTAAATACTTTGTTCCTGATTTAATAAAGATATAAACGGAATTAGGATCGATGAGATAGAATATCTAATATCCCAATTCGCGGACGACACATCTCTCATATTAGATAGAACTGAAAATTGTCTCCAAAACACCATGACAACTCTTCATATACGTATGTGTCTTTTTCAGGCCTAAAATATAACACAAGGAAAACGCAAGTGGTATGGATTGGCTCACAACGCTTTTCTGATAAAACTATGAGCAAAAGTTGGAATTTAGATTGGTCAAGAAAACATTTTCCTCTTCTCTGTATTATTTTTACTCACAATTTGGCAGAAATGGGAGAAAGAATTTACAAAAACAAACCTAAAAGTTTAAAAATTATCATGAACTCTTGGTTAGCACGTGACCTGACCATTAGGTCTGTACTAAAAAGTCATATTTTACCTAAACTAAACCACCTTTTCTCAACCCTACCTGATCCAAGTGAAAGGCTTATAAAAGAACTCGAAACACTGTGTTTTTGTTTTAGATAGAAAAATAAACCAGACAAAATCAGTAGAAATATTATGATAAAACCTTATGAAGAGGGAGGTATAAGAGTGCCTGATATTAAACATACAATCAATGCACAAAAGATATCTTGGAATAAACGTTTGTTCCATTCACATCCACACTCTAAACTTACCACTCTTTTGCTTAATAATATAACTCCAACACAAATTGGTTTTCGGCAAAAATGCCAATTCTATATATCGGAAAAGGTTATTGATGATAGGACCAATGCTTTCTGGAAAGATGTTCTGTGTACATTGGGAAACTTAATAGAAAAAAGGGAAATTCTATCAAAGAGGAAAGAGATAATCATATATTATCACAACCTTTATGACCAAAAATACGAATACAAGAATCGGGAACACTCCGGTATATTATAAACATTACTCGGGAAAATCTTGGTAATGATTTGATAGACTAGAGGTGAAGTTTTCTAGACCTATACTATGTATGCGACTGTAAAACACATTTTCTGGAATATTCTTGTCTTAGCCAAGCAATAAAACAATATCTAAAGCGTAAGAGTATAGCCCTAACATCTAAGTTACATCTGCCCTTAATACCATATTTCCTTGGAAACCTAGTGGAGAAGGGTGGGGGTGGGGTGGGGTGTAGATTATTTTATGATATATTAAATAAAGTATCCAACAATATGATATCCCAAAAATACATTCAAAGATGGGAACTAGATCTTGGCCTTCACATGACGGTAAAAGATTGGCAAATGTTTAATCGTAGCCCCCACAGATATATTGTGTCCTTAAAACAAAAATGGTTCCAATACAGTATTATTCATAGAATTGAATTGTACCAACAAACGAGTTACTGTACAAAATGGGATATAAAGAATGATTTCTTTGCATTTTTGGTAAAAGAGAAAGCAAATGTTCTTTGAGTGCAAAATTGTAAAACATATCTGAACAACCCTGCAAATGAATTAATGACAAAGCTGGAATAGAGCTAGAATTTTCTAAATTGACAATCTTATAAGGATATCAACAAAAACGAAATGATGTATTAAATCATATTTTAATTGTAACAAAGCAAAACATATTCAAATCAAACATTTCCGACTCCATACCAAATTTCCAACACATCAAACAAGAAATAACCGATTCATATTACATCGACAGACATATATCATATTCACATTGTAAATACACACAGTTCATGATCATGACATTTTGGTCTCTCTGTCACCACCTATTCGCACCACGAACTTACACAATCCAACAATATGACACTGAAATAGTTTTTGTTTGTTATCATCTATAGATATACTTTGAAACGTGTATGTATTCAAGATTGCATGTGAACTATATTCGGTAAACTTATTGTTTGTGTACTCCAAAAAGAAATAAAATCATAAAAAGATGAATTATTTCAAAATAAGAAACATACAGTGATAATAGTGAAACCAATCAATTAAGTGTCCCTCGGTCGCCAGAATAGATTGACGCTTCTTTATCTAGACGTACCAGATTTATCATGGAATGATATTTTATTACAAATTCAATAATATTTTGGTTCAAAGTTCATAATCTAAAACCAATGATTCCCATCTCTTGGTTCCGCCCTACCATGAAAGGACAGCTGAGTCAATTCACACTTCAAAATAAATATTGCCTCCAGATCAAATATTTACTCCCAGTTTACTCTGTAGATGTAAAAGTCGGTCCTTTATCTTTGGTATAAGACTATTGCTGAATTTTATAAAGGTAAAATCCTGTCTCAATGGATGATACTTTTGGGGTTTTTTATTCGTCCGGTAGTGATGCATTAGAGCGACTTCTGGACTAACAACATACATCTTCCAACCAGGGAGGAACTTTTCCATTGTGTGAACATGAAGCAGGTCCACGACCTCGGGTTTCACGAGAATTTTTGCATTTTTGCTAGGGTTATTTATGTAAGACCTGTCGGTATGCAGAAATGCATGCATTTTGAATTTCTTCGCATCCTCCTTTTCAGGGAACTCGATTTTTGTCTCATTTTCATGGATTGGGAAGTCCGCATTTTGAAACATAAGGGCCCCATACATATTTTTAGAATTAGTTTTTTTTGTATTCAGTAGTCTGTCAGCCAGATCTGCTAACGAAATATCTTTCCTGGGCACAACAATTTCATCAACATCTGCAAGGAGAACGTACTTGGCTACCCCAAGCTGAGAGAAGACACAGTCATGGATACTCGCCATCTGACCCCAGTAGTGGATCTGGTCTGGGGGGAAGGGAAGCTTCCAGTTCCTCATCTCCACCATGCCTTCCCTCTCGTAGTGCAGCAGGACTTTGCTGACATCTTCTGGTATGCTGTAGTTGTAGATGAGGAACTTGTCTGTCCCGAAGTATCTGTTGGTCTCCAGGGCTGTGACAAGTGTGTTGACGTCAATTAAGTTTCCACGCAGGGCATGGTAACAGCGCGTCAGTCGGTTATAGGGGGGTCCGGGATAGTTGACAGGGAGGATGTTGAGGGGGGAGGACATCCGGTCAGTGAGGACAGAGATGAACGCCGGGTAGGAGCCCTGAGGTACTGGGCAGTGAACAAATCCACATCGATTACTGAAAGGAGTAATCAAATAAGACGGCATAGGATTTATTTATTTTATTTTGTTTGTTGTCTCAATGTTACAGCACTATGATGGCGGTCTGTAAAAGTCGAAGTAGTAATAAAAGTACAAGTATATAACAACTGTATAACTGAGTCCCCTATTGAAACATATAATATATAAAATGGTATATGTTTCTCAAAGAATATTCAATCCAATGTTTCATTACCTACGTCATCAACCAAGTGGTATATTCGTACACTATAGATACATACGTGTCTGTGTATTCGTGTAGCTTGTTTTGTTTTAAACAAATTTTATTGACATATATGGTCAACGAGATTGGGCAAAAGTTATCCAACTTAGGTGGCCCTTTCCGTAATGTATTTGTACAGACATTGATACATATATACATACACACATACATATACATACGTGTACAGAAATACATACATATACACATAATCATATATACGCATAATCATACATACTCATACATACATACATACATACACATACTCATATACATATGCACATATTACATTTATAGTAACAAAGAGAAATATATTTACACAAGAACATAAACATCATGTTTGCAAGAATAACATAGACATACATAAGAAATGCCTATGTAAACACAATTTACTTGTATATACACATTATTCCAAAATACATGTAAGACTACATATATAATTACACAATCATACATACACTTATATATACAAGTACATATATGCACACATACACACACTACATACATACACATATACCCTTGTATACGCATGCATACATATATATACATACACATACACATACACATACACATATTTACACACATACACCAAGATATACATACCCGTAAACATTATGCTTACAGAAGGAGGAAGAGATACCCATGTATTCATATACATGCATGCAGTTTATACACTAATGGCGTAATTAATAATAGGTAATCGCTGAGCGATATTCTATATTTATGATATACTTGTACCACTTATGAAACTATAAATAGATTTATACTCACTTGTAAGTACCCCATCTACTTAGAGAGATGTGTCGAAAACGACCTTGAACCCAATAACCCACATGTGACCTTGTTCTCTTCAGTACGCAAACGAAAGAAACAGGATGGAATGGTTCCGGAACGAGGATAAGAGTTCGCACTGACGAGTGAGTTTTTTTCGTATATTGCAGAAAATATAAAAATTCGAACGTCCACTTGCTGAAACTCGCTTTGGTAAGGCCTCCTAGGTGGAAACCTGTTTTCAAGTCCGCCCTCTCCTAAAACGGCATCAAAACGCCTCTTATTGAGGAATAGTTGACCTGAACTGTTATCAGTTTGTTGGAGCATCTGAGGAAGTCGTTCATTACGTCGTGTGGTCGGCGTGGGTATGTTTCTGTTCAATAGAAACGCTTCTTGTTTTGAATGTTTACCTGCACTTGACTGGATCACTGAATTGTTTGCACCCTTTTGCACAGACGCGATTATGTCTTCACTAGTGTCCTCGTGGTCTCTGGAAGTCAGTGCAAGAAGCATCCTTACCCTCGGGATAAGTTCGGAAAAAATCAGCAGGCTGACAAGACAATTGCATAGTGTGAACACCGCCATTACTTTAACCAGGTTCATTCTCCTCATCTTCTCTGATTTTCCCCTGTATATAACAAAAGGAAACAAGAATATATTTCTTAACAGAGAGCAAACATACTTAGATAACAAAGAAGAACCCATAGCTTTCATTTTTTTCACGATAATCTGTTGTGGACCAACTTGAGAGTTCACTGATCATTTGCCCGGTGTCAGTATACCAAGGTAACAGCTGTGATTTGAAAGGACAACAATGTAAGAGAAGGTAAATTATTCAAGTTAAATTCGGCAATATTAATTTTTGCCGCTTTTATAAGTTTATTTTTACTCAGATCACTATTGAATCGTTATTTTCTTAATTTATTATTAATATATTTGGAACGTATTTACTTACCAAATGTCTAAACAGATTTGAATAACTGTATGGTATAGGAATTCCTTGTCGGTACGTCGGTGTGGCCTTTCCGAATGTGATTGTCGTTGGACCACAAGGTTGTACAATGTCACTGTGTACTATTCCAGCTATATGACTGTGGCCTGTGAATAAACGATTATGGATCAGACAAATTTGGGATTAATAGCATAATAATGATAATTCCTTTGTCCTGAGAGACATATATTATTCGTAGGGAACCAACGCCCGACTCGGACAATTGACTTGTGACTGTTGTGGCAAAGACACAGTGGTTTGACTGAGTATGGGTTTACGCCGCTTTTAACAATATTCCCGCAATATCACGGCAGGGGCTACCAGAAATTAAAAAAACTATTTCACTGATATCCGTGTCCGAATGACGTTACGATGTTACCAAGGATATGTTAGATCACGGGGAGGTAATTTGAACAGCGTCATGACGTCACCCCATTATGACGTAACAAAAAATGTTATGCAGGATAAAGTACAGTCGGTGCCTTTGTTCTTAGCGAAGAATCTTAGAAAGTATAATAATGATCCACGACCCAAGCCGTTTAGTTTACACGCCTTTAACGAAAATACCGAGTTTCATCGAATAAGTTGAGACTCCATTGTAAACTTGTAAACAATTACTGTCCAACAACATATGTTCTACGACCTATGGGGGCGGTCGGGTAGCCTAGTGGTTAAAGCGTTAGCTCGTCACGCCGAACACCCGGGTTCGATTCCCGACATGGGTACAATGTGTGAAGCCCATTTCTGGTGTCCCCCGCCGTGATATTGCTGGAATATTGCTAAAAGCGGCGTAAAACCATACTCACTCACTCACTCTACGACCTATGCCTCGACGTCACAGAAGTGCACTAGCCAAATCAGATCTTGTACAGCCCATATACGCATCGAGACGGGAAGGTGTAATAATACGCCAGTGAATGGCCCTACATGGTGTTTTTCTCAAAAACGTAATTTCATTTAGAAAACTTGATTCAGTCACGATCCCATTGTTAATGACATTGCTGGAACTACGGTAATCTTCTGAGTACCTGAATTTGTTTGAGATTGATAATTAGTAAATAATATTTCCAAAAAATAGATCTAAAGTCCAGATTCTATCTCCTGGACGGGAGGCCAAAACACACACACACACAAGACTACACATTGGGGTGTTAAGATCTTTAAACTTTAGGAAATATATTACAAGTTTATGATGTTTCTGTGTTCCTACTTATAAAATAAAATAAAACCTACCAATAAAATTCAATGATTGATCGTAACTCCAATTGAATAGATGTATATAAAGAGGTTATCACGCGAGTGTGTTTGGGGATGGTAAATATCCTGCATTTAGGAATAAAGAAGAAGAAGAAGAAGAAGAAGAAGAAAATTGTTTTGTTAAAGTGTCACATGCTGCAGTACTAAATATATGGACATATAAACATTTCATTAAAAAACAGCATCCGGCCAGTTGGCCTACGAGACACTAATTACATAATGGTACATTTAAAATATATAAAAAAAGAAAGGAAAAATTAGTTGCAACTTTGTATATTACTACACCCACACCCACACCCACACCCACACCCACACCCACACCCACACCCACACCCACACCGATACACCCACACACATATCCGCATTAAAATCCCGCTCAAAGCATTCAAACAGGTAAGCATACAAACAGGTAAGCATACAGGACGCTCACAGCAATCTCATACAGGACACTCACAGCAGTCTCATACAGAACACTCACAGCAATCTCATACAGAACACTCACAGCAATCTCATACAGAACACTCACAACAATCTCATTCAGAACACTCGCAGCAATCTCATACAAAACACTCACGGCAATCTCATACATGTCATACATCTATACACATATGCGTACATATACACACAACTTAATTCATCAATCGTGTATACTAACCTACATGTATAACCAGCATACATACTAACATACCAACCTACATACATACCTATATCCATCAAACATAAATCAATCCGTATTATACATACACAGGTCCATCCATACCTATGTCCGTTCAAACACACCTCAATCCAAATATACTAACACACATGCAACCATACATCCATACATATCTATATCCATTCAAACACACCTCAATCTAAATATACTAACACACATACAACCATACATCCATACCTATATCCATTCAAACACACCTCAATCCAAATATACTAACACACATCCATACCTATATCCATTCAAACACACCTCAATCCAAATATACTAACACACATCCATACCTATATCCATTCAAACACACCTCAATCCAAATATACTTACACACATCCATACCTATATCCATTCAAACACACCTCAATCCAAATATACTAACACACATCCATACCTATATCCATTCAAACACACCTCAATCCAAATATACTAACACACATCCATACCTATATCCATTCAAACACACCTCAATCCAAATATACTTACACACATACAACCATACAACCATACCTATATCCATTCATTCACACCTCAGTCCATATATACATACACACATACAACCATACAAGTGTCGTACTGAATACAGTATGAACATACATTAAATACAACAGATGATATAAATGAGAGGCACTGTGTACTAACGTACATAAACACACCCGCTTACACACCTACGTGCATATATAAGACAATGCATAACATTATGGATGGGATAAAAAGTAATTAAAATAAAAGCTAACAGTTTATATAAAGTTTACGGCGCCTGTACATTCTGTAGACAAGGCTAGGGGTTTACTTATACATGTAGTATTCATTAAATAACAGGTCTGTTGCAGTAGAGAACAGGTCGGGAAGGAGGGCTCCAAGGAGGTAATATAATTCCATAAATCATATCTTAAATCAGAATAAAAGTTCCATTCGGTCCATTATAAGTTGAACATATGGTTCAGTGTTAAGCGAGC